GAAATCAGTATAGAAACAATATTCTTTCCAATAAATGGTGTCAGGACAACAGGATATTCATTTAGAAAAATATTATTTACTAAACAACTTCCAGGTACATTAAAATCTACCAAAATTATTAAGTTATTAGAAAATGAAGGACAATAGCCTAGACAAGAACTAAAAGAAAAATCCATACAGTAAATAATGGAAAAACTGGATCAAAATAAAATGTAAGGTTTATGGTGACACTCCCCTCAATTTCCTTTTTATTCCAGTAGTCATGGGGATGACATTTAGCCAATTTATTTCAGTGTGAGCATCGCCGTGCAGCATCATTAAGTGAGACTGAGTTCCAAGACACTCCTGTCCCTGGCGATCGGAAACTGTGCAGTGAACAGGGTGTGCACATCTTCCTGGACCCAGTGCCCAGTGTTCGACCCTGACTGGTGGCATCCTTAGTAACCCTCCTCCCTGACAGCACGGTTACTGCTTCCAGTCCCTGAGGGCAGCCCTGAGCTACACTGGTCCATTAGCAATCAGATTCCAGTTTGGGGGGGCAGCTGGATTGTATGTCAGGTTAGTAAAGCACATGCTCTTCAGGTTCCTGGGGCTCCTGTTAGGGGTGGGAGAAGGGTTGACTGAAGGGAAAACAACTGTGATTGTTAACATAGTTTAATATAAAAATCTGCATTTGGAAGGAGTAACCTGGCCTTATTTTCTGTCTTAAAACCCCAATTGGTGTTGTGGGGTTGTGCTTCTTTATTCTTTTAACCCAGTGAAAATGGATGATCTTGCTCAGGGGAAAATTTAAGTCTTCAAACAAGGAAGTCCCAGCTTTCCCTTATGGATCAGAGGAACCTTAGAGACCTAAAATTGTTGAGACTGTTACTTCCAATTTAGCTGCTCCTCAAATTCAAGTGAATATTTTCTCTTCTCCCCTTACCCTTCCCCAGAAATAAAGCAGGTGACTGGATTTTCAGAAAAAAGATAAGTTATGGTGACATAATCAGAGTTTGAAGACGTGATATGATAAAAGTTTTGCATTATTTTTTAAATGATATATAGGCATAGATACCCACAACAAGTATACACACATCAAATAACAAATATATTTTTAAATCCTTAAAATCAGTAAGAAAAATACAACCAAAAAATAGAATATGTGCAAAAGATATGAGCAAATAGTTCACAGAGAGAACCATGAAAACGACAGAAATATGTGAAAATTTCAATTACACTAGTAATGAGAGAAATACAATTGATATGATATTAAGATAAATTGTTTGCCAATAAAATTGGGGAAAATGAAAACATTTGATAATGTATCGTTTCAAGATTCCAAGACATCTGTGATCCCTAAGCCTCCTAACAGTTAACTACTAAGCTTATGGAATCATAGAATTGTAAAGTAGAAAGGCACTTAACAAATCATCTAGTCTGGCCTTGTTGTTCTGTGGAGGGAGGGAACTGTGCATCCTCAGAGAGGCTGGTTTATATTCTTGAAGTCTTTGACTTCTCTCCATCCATATATATATATAATGAACATACGTTCCTGGCATTTTTAAGTTTTTCTATCTTTCTTCTTCTATTAATTTCCTTCTAAATGAGATAAATGATTGACTAGAATATGGCAGTCACTTAAGCTACAGGGCAACAAAATTTTTCATGTTAAAAATAAAACATAAAAAAGTATGACAGTAGTGTTGATTGGATGCGGGAAATTGATCCTCTCCTCTACCACCTGGGTAATTTCATAGGTTCATTAGATATAAGTGGGGCAGAAGTCATGACAATGCAAAATGCACGTGCTCTATGACCCAGTATTTTAACCACCTGATACCTATTCTAAGGAAATTTACAAATGTTCTCCCCTTGGTGTTTCTGAGACATTCACCGCAGAATTCTCATAGCAATGAGGAATAAGAGACCATCCTAATTTGCATCAAAAAAGGGAAGGGAAAAATACAATTTATTCATATTGTGTAATCTAAATATATGCAACAGCAGCCAAACAGAAGGATAGGGAACTACATGTATGACATGCAAACACTCTCCAAGAAATATTGTTGACTGAAGGACCAGTTGAGAACAAAGTGCATAGTGTGAAAAACTTCATGTTAACACATAACTACAACTACAGTAAATATAAATATTTCATATATAAAACAGCCATTAGAAGACTCTGAAAGGTGCAGAGAAAGCAGACAGCACAGGGACCCTGTGACTCAAGGAACTACACAATGTGAATTCCGAAGGTTTTCTTTTTTCCTCATATATCCCAGAGTTGGAACTGAAGAAGCTTGTAAACCAGAAATACCCATGGGTGCAGATTAAAAAACTGTCCCCAGAAAAGCCTGCTCTCTCTTGCCAAAAGACCAAGAAAGGGGCAGCCTAACACAACAGAAAATACTTCAACAGTAACTGCCCTACTCCAAACAAATGCCACAGAAAAAACTGCAGCCCCACGCTCACCCTCAACAGCAAAGATCAAGTGGGAAGCCCTGACCCCCACCCTCATCCAGCTGTAATGAAGCACTCCTCCCACCCCCATGGGGCTGCAGCATAGAAGGAGCTGGGACCTGCATCAGGCCCATTGGTAAAAGCCCCTCTCTGTGGTGTCAGTGGAGGCCATGTGGGGAGGCATCTCCACAGCCCCAAGTCGGGTGGTGTAAGCAGAGGCCTGGTTGTGAGTGAGAACACCCACCCCACCCAGCAGTAACCAGGTAGGCCTCCCCCACTGGGGAGTCAGTGGAGCCCAAGTGGGAAACCTGGATTCCACCATCACTTGCAGCACCAAGATGGCAGCCTTTTCCCCACTGGCACAATGTCAGAGGAGTCAGCCAAAACAGACTATCTTAATAAAATCCAGTTTTGAAACATAATACCTTAAAAATCTAGGATACAGTCAAAAATCATTGTCATCCCAAGAACCAGGAAACTCTCAACCTGAGATGACGTAAGTGTTAGAATCCTCTGACAAGTATTTTAAGGCACCTATCATGAAAAATTTTCCAGTGAACAAGTACACACGAACTTCAGAAATGAGAAAATAGAAAATTTCAGCAGAGAAATAGAAAACCTTGACAAAAAACATACGGTATAAAAAACACTTAAATGGAATTTTTAGACCTGAAAAATACAATAACTGAAATGAAAACTCTACTGGATAAGCCTAATAGCAGAATGGAGAGAAAAGAGGAAAAAAGTATGGATAAACTTGAAGACAGAACAATAAAAATTACCCAATCTGAACAACAGAAAGAAAACAGACTACAACAAAATGAAGAGTCTGAGGGACATGTGGGACTATAACAAAATTCTAATATTTGTGTCACTGAATTCCAGAGGGAGATAAGAGAATGTGGAGCTAAAAATTGTTCAGAGGAATAAATAGCTAAATATTTCTCAAATTTTCCAAAAGACAAAAACATATAGATTCAAGATGAGGAAACTCCAAACAGGATAAATTCAAAGAAACTCATGCCAACATACATCACCATCAAACTTTGGAAAACTAAAGACAAAGGAAAAAATCTTGAAAGCAGTAAAAATGAAACCTTATCTATAAAGGAAAAACTATTTGAATTACAGCTAATTTCTCATTAGAAACCAGTGCAATGTAGCACAACATTTTTCAGATGTTGGATAAAAAGAGTTGTCAGCCTGGGATTTTATATCCAGAAAAAATATCCTTCAGGAATGAAAAGCTTGTTTAGTTTTTCAAGTTTTTCTGATAAAAGTTGCTTTTTCCCAAACATTAAATGACACATGGTATTATGGACTGAATTGGATCCCCCCAAATTCGTATGTTGAAGCCCTATGTGACTCCCCCATGTGACTATATTTGGAGACAGGATCATTTAGGAGTAGTTAAGGTTAAATGAGGTCCCAAGGGTGGGGCTTTAATCCCATAGGATTGGTGTCCTTATAAGAATAGGAAGAGACAGCAGTGACCTCTCTCTCCCCCACTCTCTCTCCATGCATACAGAGGAAAGGCCACGTGAAGACACAGCAAGATGGCAGCCGTCTACAAGTCAAGAGACAGGTCTCACCAGAAACCATCCCCGCCAGCACCTTGATCTTGGATATCTAGACTCCAGAACTGTGAGATAATTAATTTCTGTTCTTTAAGCCACCAAGTTTATGCTATTTTGTTATGGAATCCCTAGAAAACTAATGCACATGACTATGTAGAAAACAAAGAAAATGTTAAAAATTCAAACAAAGGAAATCACCATAATTCCACCACACAGACTACTGGAAAATGTGGGGGGTATGTTTTTCTTCATCTTTTAAAACATATCATAAATATTTTCCTTTATCAATAAATAGCAATCTAAGACTTCTTTGATATTGTTGAAGAATAAAAAGCTACAGTTTTATACCTTCCAATATTTAGGGATGATGGGTTAGCATGAAGGCGATCTTTGTGGTGATGGAATGTTATATATCATGATGGCAGTGACAGTTACAGGCATGCACACGGGATAACATGACACAAAACTATTCACACACACTGTGCCAGTGTCAATTTCTTGGTTTAGATATTGGACTATTCTTACATAAAAGTAGAAGTTTTGCAGGAAACTGGGTGAAGGATACATCAGACCTCTTGGTATTATTTTTGCGACTTCTGTGGATCTATATTTTTTCTAAATAAAAAGAGAAAAATAAAAAGTTTCTTAAAAATAAATGTCTATTAATAGATAATAGATACATCTGTTCACTCTGAACTAAGGCCATCACGGTGGCAAAAAGACCAGTAGACTGATTCTTTATTTGGGGAGTTATTTTAAAAAACAATCACGTCTTCCTATATCAAAAAGTTTTTAAAACCGCCCTCAGGCAGGCTTTCATAACAAATACTAGTGATGCTGTGCAAATAATTAAAAAATAGAACTGTGAGTTTCAAAGAAGTTAATCATTGGGCAGATTAAGGGGAAGAAAGCATCCAGACCAGTGGTTTCCTAAATCAGCTCATTAGGCACAAGTCATACTTAAAATAAGAAGTCTCTTCACACGCACAGACCAAGATCAGACGTCCTCTGTGGCTGGGCTTGCTGGACTCTGCACCATGAGAAACAGATATCTAAGGTTGCTGCCAGGTAGGAAGAGTTATATCAGTAGAGGTGGAAGACTAAAGCTATCTGGGAACTATCCATCCAATTTGAGAATATTCTCCATTCTGTACTTGATTTCTGGCTTGTTTTCTAACTATCTCTGTAAGGGAGAGCAGGGAAGAAATGTTAAAAAATATATTAGCTCCATTATATTTAGTTCTCAAAGGAAAAAGTCAATGAAACTTATTCCTAGGGCAAAGGTGGAGATTTCTCGTTTTACTGCCTGTATTTTTCCAGGTTCTCCAAAAGCAGAACCAATAGGATGTATATAGAGAAAGACAGAGAGAGAGATTTACTTTAAGGACTTGGCACATGCAGTTGTGGATGTTGGAATGTCTAAAAGCTGCAGAGCGGGCAGGCAGGCTGGAAACCCAGGGAAGACTTGATGTTGCATCTTGAATCCAAAGGCAGTCTGGAAGCAGAATTCCCTGTTCCTCGGAGGAATTCAGTCTTTATTCTCTTAACGTCTTCAAATGATTGGATGGGGCCCATTCACATTATGGAGGGTAGTCTGCTCTACTCACAGTCTCCTAATTTAAATGTGAATATTTCCAAAAAACACCTTCAGAGCAAATCTAGACTACTGTTTGACCAAATATCTGGGTACTGTAGCCTGGAATAATTAATATATAATATTTTTTTCAGAAGAGTAGATAACGAAACTCTCTGAAAACTCTAATGCACTAAGAAAAACATCGTCCTTTATTCTATAGGCTTTCTGTGGGTCATGGAATGATTTGAAGGACAAGAATGGTAAATTAGTAAAAACTGATATTGGTGAGGTCAGCTTAATTCTGATTAGTCTGTATTTCCTTCAGTGCTTAGGATAGTACCTGCTACCAGGTAAGTTAGGTTTTTCTTCTATGTTGTCCTCATTGGTTGTATTTTGTTTCCTGGGTTTTATGAAAATAGCCATATTTCGTATCATCTGCTTTGAGGAACATGATTTTTTTAAGCTGGGCACATTTTGGAGGGTCCATTGTACCAAATGATGTGGCCATTTAAAAGCAATGGAGAGCAAAGTTAGTTTCTTCCAAATGTTTATGTTTTTAGGTGTCTGTGTACAACGTGCTCAGCAGACTAAATGACCTTATTCATACATATGGGACATTGGGACTCATCTGATCCTGCTCTGGTGCCACACTTTAGAAAACAGAAGTGTGGTTGGTGGGGCACCTGAGGCGTGGAGCGCCCGCACCACTTTCCCAAGGGGCAGCTCCAGGCTGGTTTGGACTCAGGCCATCTGGCCCGGGAGCCTGGCCCTCTGCAGCACTGGACAGAGCTGTAGGAGAAAAGGACATTTCATGGGCAAGGAGGGAAGAGTAGGGGTCTAGGACTCTGAGCACTGAGAGGACCAAGGTGAGCGTGTGATTCTGCCGGACCCTGGAGTCTGACCCAGACACAGTGGGTCTCAGGTACCAGGAAGGTCATAGAGGAGCCGGAGAGAAACTCTGCTCTTTGTTTTCTTCCTTTACTCTTTCTTTCCCTTTAGCCAATGTACGTTGTCTCTTTACTCTGTGTCGGGCTCTGTGGTAACCCTTTGTTAGTCTTCACTAATTTACAATCAGAATAAAGCTCTTCCTATCGTGATTACCATTATACCCATTTTTCATCAGGGAAATTGTGGTTGAAAGTTGAGTGGTGCTCCCAAAGCCACGCAGTCACCACGTAGACATCTGGGATGCAGAGTTGAGCATGTCCATCTCCAAATCCATCCTCCACCAGTGTTCTCTGTCGCCTTACACAGTGTGAACTGGCAGCACAGCTTTAAGAGGAATTCATCTTTGTCTTTGCCTAGGAGGAAAGATCCTAAGCGGACACAGATCTTAAAATATTTTCAGAAAGTTTTTGGTCACATGATTGGGATGACAGAATCTAATAGGTAGACTGGTTATTGCCTGTAAAGTAGATTTCATTCCTTCAACTCATAGTGGTTTTCACACCACAAAGCTTGTTGCTCTCAGTGACTCACTTCTCAGGACTGGACTGGGAGACAAAGTGGGAAGGCTGTGCCCTCAGTGAACTGCAGGAGGCCAGGAGCTCAGCTGGGGGAAGCACAGAAGCCGTGGGTGCTGCACCTGGAGAGTCCACTCACCAGGAGATGGTGGCTCCACCTGCAGGCTCCTTAGTTCCCACTCGTCACCTGTCATCAGCTCCCTCTTCTTGATTCCAGAGCTCCTGGCCCTGCTGATAGCACTGTGAGCTAGGGCTCACACTTTGGGCTCTCTGACCCCAAACCCGCGATCTTCTTGTATGCCCAGAAGGATGTACTCTAAACAGAGGGGTGATCCTGGAAGAGAATTCATTGAAGCAGATTTCTGCCATTGCCAGAGACCAAAGAACCTGGGTCTGGGCAAAGGCACCTCCAATCTGAGGACTTTCCCCTTCAAGATATCCCTCTCCACTGGGATTGGCTGGAGTTCCTAAGCTGTGTCCCTGTCATCAGCTGTCTGCGTATATTATGTCCCTTCACCTGTAGCACTTGAGGTTCCACGAGCTCTGTGTCTTTTGGTGACTGTCTCTTCAGGGAGTCCTGGGAGATGGAGGGGAAAGACATAGTGTTCAATTCTGTATAGAGTACAAGATTCTCGGGGAGTCTGCTGGACAGTGGTGGGCTGGAGGGCCAGAGCCACCTCCCCAGGAGGCAATGGCCGTGTGGACAAGGATTGAAAGTGGAGCTCAACTGTCCTCTCTTTGTCATCTCTCTGTTTTTCTGCCCCAGGACTCTCAGTGCTGCTGTTGTTGCCACTGGGAGCTGCAGCCCAGAGTGCTGGAGGTGAGTCACCCGAGCCAGCCCCATTTTGACAAAAGCTGGGGAGTCCCTGCTGGTGTGGGTCTTGTCACCAACAAGGTGAGAAAAGGAGGCTTATTCTGCAAGTGAGACTCAGAGACGGTCCTCTGAAGATAAGAGAAGCTGTTTCCTTCCTCCCTAAATGTCCAGAGTCTTCTGAGCTCTTCCACTTCCAATGGCAGCCATCCCTCCTCTTATGTCCTTTTCTCTACTCTTGGATCCCCAGCAGTCAGAGGGCTTCATCCATTTTTGGAGGCTTCTGACTATGATTTCCATCCCCACTGCTTCTGCCCCGACAGCCTGTGCTCGCTGGTGCCCTCCGAACCCTCCATGTGTCAATGCCCACGCCTGTCGCTGCCTTCTAGGATTCAGTTCTTCATCTCGAGATATCATCACCAGCCCCATGGACAATTGCGATGGTACAAGAACTTGGGGGTGGCAGAGGGGCATATGGAGATTGTGGAGGGGGGGATTGTGGGACATCCAGAGCCCTTAGCCCTGAGAGCAACACAGAAGCACTTTGTCAAGGATGAGGGTGGAGGCAGGGCAGGGGAGGGATGAGGGAAGTGAGCATCAGGTTTCATGATCAGTAGTGGAGTGTTGAGAACTTACACAGTGGAGCTGGGCTACGTGGGTTCAAAGCCTAGCTCTGCCACTGGCTGGTTCTCTGACCTTTAGGAAATTATTTCTCCTCTCTGTGCCTCAGTTTGCTTGTCTGTATGTTAGGGATAATCATTGTACCTACCCCACATGGGTGGTGTGAGATTTAATATTTAGACTAGTACAGAGCAAATTATCAACAAAGGTGAGCTATCATCATTGTTATTGCTGTTATTATTATTATTATTACTATTGTTCTCATGGCACAAAGAAAGGGGAAGAATAATGGCAGAAACAGGAGGAAAGAAGCACCAAGGGCCTGGAAGCTCAGGCTCTCCTACTAGAGGGAGCTCACCAGGAACTCCTGCCTGGCTCACGATCGTGGTCTCCCACCGCGTCCTCGCAGCAGACCCGTGAGGCAAGCAGAGCTAGGATTGTGGTTTTTTCCCCACTTGCACTCATTTCGTCCACTCCCTACCTCAGCCTCTGGCAATCACCAATCTGTTCTCTGTATCTATGAGTTCAGTTTTTCTTTTTTTAATGCCACATATTAGAGAGATCATATAGTATTTGTTTTTTTCTGTTTGACATTTCACTTAGCATACTACCCTCAAGGTCCATCCATGTTGTCACAAATGGAAGGATTTCCTTCTCTTTTTTGGCTGAATAATATTTCACTGTATACATGTACCACTTTTACATTATCCATTCATCCACCAAAAGACACTTATGTTGTTTCCATGTCTTGGCTATTGTAAATACTGCTGCAGTGAGCAGAGGGGTGCAGATATCCCTTCAAGATAGTGATTTCATTTCCTTCGGGTAAATACCAAGAAGTGTGATTGTTGGATCATATGGTAATTCTATTGTTAATTTTTTGAGGAACCGTCACAATGTTTTTTTTTTTTTAAGATTTTATTTATTTATTTTATTTCCCCCCAAAGCCCTATTAGATGGTTGTAGGTCGTAGTTTCACATCCTTCTAGTTGCTGTACGTGGGACGCGGCCTCAGCATGGCTGGAGAAGCGGTGCGTCGGTGCGCGCCCGGGATCCGAACCCGGGCCGCCAGTAGCGGAGCACGTGCACTTAATCCCTAAGCCACGGGGCCGGCCCTCCTTCATACTGTTTTTCATAGGGGCTGCACCAACTTAAATTCCCACCACAGTGCCTAAAGTTTCCTTTTCTCCACATCCATGCCAACACTTGTTATCTCTTATCTTTTTTGATAACAGCCACCCTAACAGGTGTGAGGTGGTATCACATTGTGGTTTTGATTTGTATTTCCCTAATTATTAGTGACGTCCAGTACTTTTCATGTGCCTGTTGGCCATTCTGATGTCTTTTTTGGAAAAAGGTCTATTCAGATCCTCTACTGATTTTTACTGGGATTCTGTAAGTTTTTTGCTGTTGAGTTGTATGAGTTCTTTATATTTTTTGGATGTTAACTCCTTATCAGATATACGACTTGCAAACATTTTCTCCAAAATTGTACATTGTATTTTCATTTTGTTGATTATATAGAAGCTTATTAGTTTGATGTAGTCCAACTTGTCTATTTTTGCTTTTGTTGCCTTTGCTTTTGGTGTCAAATCCAAAAAGTCATTGCCAAGAGTGATGTCAAGTAGCTTACCCTCTACATTTTCTTCTATGAATTTTAGGGTAGTATCATTTTTTAAATTATCAAATTTGGCTCAAAGAGATTGAGTGACTTGTCAAAGTCATACAACTAATAAGGTGGTAGACCCAGATCCAGGTCTAAAACTAAGGGGTTTTTATTCTTCAACAAAGTAGGATCATAAAAGGAAATTATAATATGCAAAAATGGTTAAGGTAGAAAATTTTGTGATGTGTATTTCACTACAATAAAAAATTGGGGGGAAATTGTACTGTTTTTACACAAAGAAATGGTCTTCATCTACTCAGAATAGTCTTAGATGCATATTTATTGATAATAAAAGAAAATATTCCTAATAGGTTTGAAAAGATGAGAAAAAATTCCACTAAATTTTCAGTAGTCTGTGTAGTGGACTTATAGGTGAAGTTTTTTGTTTTCATCTTTTACATTTTTTGTTTGTTTTCTAAGGATTCATGTGTTAGTTAATGTTTGAGGAAAAGTAGTTTGTATCAGAGGAAAAAAAAAGATCTTGTGACTACTGCGCAACCCATCCACAACCCTGGAGGTATTCCTAAAGGTTCCTTTGTGCATTGGCATGTGTGTGTCTCGTGGAGATTTGTAGACATGGTGACCATGGAGGGGAGACTCTGCTGCTCATGTAGCTGTATCCCAGCTCCTTTCTGGGAAGGCATTTGTCAGGTTGAGGAATTTCTCACCCTCAAGTCCTCCCCTCCCACACACATCAGTCCCCACTGTCCCCCACTCAATTCCACCCCATCCTGTCAACCTTGAAGACAGGTCTCCAGCCATCGCCACCATCTGAGGACAGAGGAGGGAAACCCCATTGCCCAGGTGGGGGCTGAACAGGAATCTCTCAGTGCGTGTCCTCTTGCTCCTGTCTTGTCCCAGTGCTGACACCCACAGCCTGGGCCTGGGGCCTTAGAAGGGAAATCTGTAGGTGCAGAGATGAAAACTCTCATCTGGGGGAAAGTAGGTACCTGCGTTGACTCATCATGATGCCGTGAGTCCTGTCAGGCTCTAAAGTTTTTGGTCCCCTGGTTTGATGTACAAGTGCCAAACTTTCTGTCCCTGCCTTTTAATTCATCTTATGTCCCTGTTTTTTCATGAAGCTGTTGCTGTTTTTAACCAACGGTATCCAGCCTCTGCTCTGTGTGTCACTGAGCTTCTCAAAGTAAGCCTGATTCATGGGCATCTTTCTTCTCATGTTTAAAGAACATGGAGACATAAGATGCCAAAAAAAAAAAAAAAAAAAACACCCACATGACTCAGCTGTGAGAAGCTTAATGCTGCTTCCTCATTTCAAATCCGTGATGGGCTCTGATAAAAGGGGTTCCTTCAAGGGTATAGCAAGACTCCCCCAGAGACACCCTAAAGCATCTGGAAAAGGCCTGACATTGGGAGCTGGAGGAGTGCTTGATGAGGAGTGTGGGGTGTACTTGGGTCACTGTGAGTAAAGGGGGCTGGAAGCCAGCAGTGGGCAGGGGCCTGACCACCTGGCTGTATGCTCAGGTGTGAAATGATGAGTGTGACCCTGGACAGCCCCCCAGCCATGACTCCCTCCAATACCACAGAATCCAGGGCAGCCTTCAGTGTCGCTGTCACCCTGACTAGAGCCCAACCCCAGGTCCCCGATGGTGCAAACAGCAACACAAGGGAGGGATTGGAGCTCAGTGCCTCTGTCTACCCCAAATGGCCAGCAGATGGGATGCAGACCTCCCCCAGCCCGTCATGACACAGCAAAGTGTCTGAATCTGGGTGTCCTCAGACGCAGCCAGAGAACAGAGATGAGCAGAGCAGTCAGCAGACTTTCTGGAGCAGCTGGCTCTGGACCACCCCAGCCCCAAGAGTGCCAACCAGGAGCTGTGTTCTGTGTAGCCCCCATGGCAGGGTCAAGCTGGAGGCCAGGGTCTCTGTCCTGTGGGAACTCACGCCTTTGGGAAGTGATCCTTTGTCCCACTGTGTTGCAGAAATCAGCGAGTGTGAACCGCCTTGGAGAGTGTCCTGTAGGGTATATGCACACTGCCAGGACACAGAGAAAATCTACTGCAGGTGCACCCCAGGAGAGGAGCTTGTTTCTGAGGAAATGTTCACCGATGAGTTTAACAAAACATGTGAAGGTAAGAAGGACCCTGCATCTTCTATCTCCTTATCCACCAGGTTGGGATCACTTGCCCCACTGTCTCCAAGCACCAATGGCCTTGCTGGGCAATTACCTGGTGTCCTGTCCCTCTCAGAACCCCAAGGCCCAGAACCCTCCACAGAGTGCCAGTTTCCATAATTTTGGAAAGTCCCCCTGCTACCTGGCATCTTACTTTTGTAAAACAAAGAGAGGAGTGGCATTCAAGATACTTCAAGAGCTCACATGCATTGCATACCAGTGCAATATCCCTCCTATTCTTCTTCATCAGTGACTGCCAGGATAAGACCTTCCCCCACTGGAACCCACATGGGCTTGGCCATGCCAGGAGCCCTCACAGACCCTCCGGGCCATGATGGACCCAGGAAGCCTGTCCAGAAATGTGGGAGGGGTGAGATTCAAGGGTGGGCTAATATCCCACAGCAGACCTTGACCCAGGACAACAATCCCACCTGGAGAAGATGCCTCCTGGAACCCTGACCTGGCTTCTTGGCTGCTCAGTCTCCATCTATTTTCTACCCTGACCTGCAATAATTTATGTTCATGGACCCATGGGCAACTCAGATGACCAAGACCCCAGAGAATTTTGTGTTGGAGGAGGCGAACCACCCCACACACACTCAGATTGTCCTGTGAATGGAGGAGGCTCCCATCTGGACCAGATGAAAAGAGAAGGCATCACTGGGGACCATTGCACCAGACAGACCCTCTCCTGAGGAGGTCAACCCAGACCCCATGTTGACCCAGACCACTTGGGGACAGAAGATGGAGGCTGAGCCCCACTCAACAGGGCCCCCAGGCTTACATCCCTAGTGGGAGGCCTAAGGCCAAGAAGACAGAAACATCAGCCACCCCTCACCCATCAGCACCTGCTCCCTTCTTTAGTAACCCAGCACTCAAACAAGGCTGGCCTTGCTCAGACATCATTTCTCACCACTTGAAGCCAGTCTAGAGGATGCCTTCATGGGGATCAGAAAAAGGCACCTTCACTGCCCCAAGGCTGCAGGGCTGGACGTCAGCCTCCACTGTCCACCCAGCCTGGCGCCCACTGTCTTGATGCTCCTGGACTGTCCAGCATCATCTTCATTCTCCTCACCCTTTCCTGCAAGCTCCTTGAGGGGCCTGGCTTTATGGGTGGGTCCTGGCCCATCTCCATGGAGCTGAGGTCTGAGTTAGTGTGGATGGGAGAGCGCTGTCCTGCCAAGGTCATCAGGATTCCAAGGAGAACTCAAGCAGCGAGTAGCCACCTGGGGGAGTCAAGACAAAGGTCATCACTGGGAGCCAAGAAGGGTCCTGCTCACAGAATCCTGCATTTTCTCTGGACTCAGCTCCCAGGAAGGCCCACCCTGGCCTTTCTCCAAATGCTAAGGGAGGACACAGGCAGCTGTGATGTCCCCATCCCAGCTGCAAGCTGCCCAGGGAGGCTGAGGGAACCAGGGCTGGCAGAAAGGGAGGATTCAGGCCACTTCCACCCACATCTGGGCAACAGAGCATCTAGGCCGCCACACTCACCCATAGGACACCTCCATGTGAAGAAGAAAAGGCTCCCACTCAGCTGGGAGGAGACAGTGGGGCCTTCTCAAAGTAGATTTCTGCCATCATCAGAGAACAAAGAACCTGGGTCTGGGCAAAGGCACTCCAATCTGAGGACTTTCTCCTTCAAGACTTGCCCCCTCCATTGGGAGAGGTTGGAGTTCCTAAGATGTGTCCCTGTCACTGGCTGTCTGTGTATGTTCTGTCCCTTCACCTGTAGCACCTGAGGTTCTGCGAGGGCTGTGGCTGCTGGTGACTGATTCCTCAGGGAGTCCTGGGAGATGGAAGAGAAAAGCTTAGCCCTCAATTTTGTATTAAGTACAGGAGCCTCAGGAAGGCTGCTGGAAAGCTGTGGGCTGCAGGGCCAGAGCCACCTCCCCAGGAGGCAATGGCCATGAGGACAGTGGTTGAAATTGGAGCTCAACTCTCCTCTCTTAGTCATCTCTCTGGTCTTCTGCCCCAGGTCTCTTTCTGCTGGTGAAGTTGACATGGAAAGCTACACTGCACAAACTTATAGGTGAGTCTGCCCAGCAGCCCTGTTAGTAACATAAGCTAGGAGTGCCTGCTGGGGTCTGGGTTCCTTCACCAACAAGGGAGGGAAAAGAGGCTTATTCAGCAGGTGAGGCTCACTTGAGGACCCAGAGATGGTTCTCTGGGGATAGAGAAGCTGGTTTTCCTCCCTGAATGCCCAGAGTTTTCTGAGCTCTCCCTCTTATGATGGGAACCATCCCTCTTTTCCCTCTCCTCCTATACTCATGGACCCCCAGCTAGCAGCTGGCTTCCACCATTTCTTTGGTCTCTGATAATGGTCTCTGTCCCCACAGGCTCTGCCCCCACAACCTGTGCTCAGCAGTGCCCTCCAAAATCCTTATGTGTCAATACCAATGCCTGTCGCTGCATTCCAGGATTCATTTCTTTGTCTGGGGAGATCATCACCAGCCCTGCGGAGAGCTGCGATGGTACAGGAGCTTGGGGGTGGCAGAGGGGCATATGGAGATTGTGGGGGAGATTGTGGGGCATCCAGAGTCCTCAGCCCTGAGAGCAGCACAGAAGCACGTTGTCCAGGATAAGAGAGGAGACAGGGCAGAGGAGGGATGAGAGAAGTGAGCATCAGGTTTCATGATCAGTAGTGGAGTGTTGAGAGCTTACACAATGGAACTGGGCTACATGAGTTCAAAGCCTAGCTCTGCCACTGGCTGGCTCTCTGACCTTTAGGAAACTATTTATCCTCTCAGTTTGCTTGTCTGTAAATTGGGGATAATCATTGTACCTACCCGACATGGATGGTGTGACATTTAATATTTACCTGTGTGATGAACAGGTAAAGACCAGTACAGAGAAAACTGTCAACAAATGTGAGCTATCATCATTGTTACTGCTTTTATTATTATTATTATTATTATTATTATAGCACAAAGAAAGGGGATGAATAATGGAAGAAAGAGGAGGAAAGAATCACCCAGGGCCTGGAAGCTCAGGCTCTCCTGCTAGAGGGAGCTCACCAGGAACTCCTGCCCAGCTCACGATCATGGTCTCCCACCGCATCCTCACAGCAGACCAGTGAGGCCAGCAGAGCTAGGACTGGTTTTTTTTTTCCAATCTTCACCCATTTCACACACTCCCTGTGCTCTCATCTCTGACAAAAACCAATCTGTTCTCTGTATCTATATGCTTGTTTGGTTTTTTGGGGGGGATTCCACATATAAATGAGATCATACAGCATTCATCTTTGTTTGTCTTTTTCACTTAGCATAATGTCCTCAAGTTCCATCCATCTTGTCGCAAATAGCAGGATTTTCTTCTATTTTATGGCTGAATAATATTTCACTGTATCCATACACCACTTTTTCATTATCCATTCACCCATCAGTGGCCACTTAGGTTGTTTCCATGTCTTGGCTATTGTGAATAATGCTGCAATGAAAACAGAGACGCAGATATCTTTTCAAGTTTGTGTTTTTGTTTTCTTCTGGTAAATACCCAGACATGGCATTGCTGGATCATATGGTAGTTTTATTTTTAATTTTTTGAGAAACCTCCATTATTTTTTCCATAGTGGCTGCATCAATTTACAGTCCCACTAACAAAGTATGAGGGTCCCCTTCTCTTCACATCCTCTCCAACCCTTATTACTTCTTGACTTTTTGATCATAGCCACTCAGATAGGTGTGAGGTGATATCTCATTGTGGTTTTGAATTGCACTTCCCTGAAGATTAGTGATGTTGAGCATCTTTTCATGTACCTGTTCGGCATCTGGATGTCTTCTTTGGAAAATGTCTATTTAGATCCTTTGCACATTTTTAAATTGGATTGTTTGGTTTTTTCCTACTCAGTTGAATGATTTCCTTATATATTTTGAATGTTAATTGCTTATCAGGTATATTATATGCTAATGTTTTCTGCAAAACATTATGTAGGCTTTTCATGTTGTTGATGATTTCCTGTTCTGTGCAGAAGCTTTCTTGTTTGATTAGCCCCAGGCCTCTATTTATGCTTCTGTTGCCTTTGCTTTTGGAGTCAAATGCAAAAGATCGTAATCAACACCGATATCAAGGAACTTACCACCCATGATTTCTTCTAGGTGTTTTATGGGTTCAGGGTAGCATCATTTTGGTTTTTTTTGGTTTGTTTATTTGTTTTTGTGAGGAAGATTAGCCCTGAGCTAACATCTGTTGCCAATCCTCCTCTTTTGCTGAGGAAGATTGGCCCTGGGCTAACATCCACGCCCATCTTCCTCTACTTTATGTGCGACGCTGCCTCAGCCAGGCTTGACGGGCGGTGTGTAGGTCCGCGGCTGGAATCCGAACCTGTAAACCCCAGGCCTATGAAGCGCAGCACACACACTTAATCCACTACACCACCGGGACAGCACCACCATCATTTTTAAATGATCATAATTGAGCTCAAAGAGATAGGGTGATTTATCCAAAGTCACACAATTAATAAAGCAGTAGAACCTAGATCCAGGTCTGAAAGTAAAGAGTTTTCATTCTTCAATAATACAAGATCATAAAAGGAAATTATATTACTTAAAAATGGTCAAGAAGGAAATTTTTATCTTTTATGCATTTTATGAGAATTTTAAAAAGTAGGAAAAGGGAGAATTACATGGTTTTTTCAAAAAGAAATACCCTTCATCTGCTCAAAGTAGTCTTAGATGCATATTTATTGAAAGTAAAGGAAAATATTCCTAATATGTTTGAAAAGATTTTTAGAACCCCTAAAATTTCCAGTCATCTGTATAATGAACTTATCTGTAATTTTCTTTGTTTTCATTCTTTACATTTTCTTTATTTTCTAAGTATCTATGTATTATTTATTGTTTAAGGAAAAGTAAATTTTATCAAGGGAAGGAAAAGATGGTGTTGTGACAACAGCCCAGCCTATCCATGACCCTGGAGGTGTTCCTAAGGGTTCCTTTGTGTGTTTGCATGTGTGTGTCTCATGGAGATTTGTAGACTGGGTGACCACGGAGAGGAGATCCTGCTGCTAATGTAGCTGGATCCCAGCTGCTTTCTGGAAGAGTGCTTGTCAGGTTTAGGGATTTCTCATCATTGTGCCCTCTCCTCCCACACACACCTCATGCCCAACTGGCCTTGAGTCAACTCCACCCTTCCTCTCAACCTTGAAGACAGGTCCCCAGCCATTGCCACCATCACAGAACAGGAGGGAAGCCCCATTGCCCAGGTGGGGGCTGAACAGGAGTCCTTCAGTGTGTGTCCCTCCTGCTCCTGTCCTGTCCTTGTGCTGACACCCGCAGCCTGGGTCTGAGGCCTTAGAAGGGAAATTTGCAGGTGCAGAGAAGAGAGCTCTGATCTGAGGGAGGCCAGTTGCCTCCCCTGACTCATCATGATGCTGAGAGTCTTTTCAGGCTCTAAAGTCTTTGGTCCCCTGTTTGGAATGTACAAGGGCCATTCTGTCCCTGCATTTTGATTCATTTTTGTGTCTGTGGTTCTTACTAAGTTGATGTTGTTTTTAGCCAATTTGTCCAGCCCCTGCTCTGAGGGTCCATGAACTACTCAAAGGGGACCTGGGTCATGGGCATCTTTCCTCTCATGTTCAGAGAACTGAAAGAGATAAGATGCAAGAAAATACACTCTGTGACTCATCTGTGAGCAGCTTCATGCTCCTTCCTCATTTAATATTCATGACAGGCTCTGATAAGGGGGGACTTCCCTTAGGGGTAGAGATAGGAAGACTACCCCAGAGGCATCCTGGGACATCTTGAAACGGCCTGACATTGGGAGCTGGGGGAGTACCTGATGAGGACTGTAGGGTGTACTTGGGCCACTGTGAGTAAAGGGGACTGGAAGCCAGCAATGGGCAGGCTCCTGACCACTTGGGTTTATCCTCAGGTATGAATGAGTCCACCTGGGCATGAGTTCTGTCATGTCCCCATGACTGGGTCAGGCTGGAGGCCAGGGTCTCTGCTCTATGGGAACTCACACCTTTTGGAGGTGACCCTTTGTGCTGCTGTGTTCCAGACATCAATGAGTGTGAAACTCCCTCGACAGTGTCCTGTGGAAAATTCGCAGATTGCCACAACACGGAAGGGAGCTACTACTGCACGTGTAGCCAAGGATACAAGCTTGTTTCTGGGGCAACATTATTCTGGAATGAAAAAGAGAACACGTGTCAAGGTAAGAACCACTCCGCATTTTCCATCTCCTCGTCCATGAGGTTTGATGTCATTCACTCCACTTTCTCCAGGCATCAGAGGGCCGTCCTGGGCACCTACCTGATCCCCCTCCCTCTCAGAACCCCAAAGCTCAGGACCCTCCACAGAGGGTCACTTTTGGAAGTTTAAAATATCCCCCTTGCCCCCCTGGCATCTTATTTTTGTAAAACAAAAGAGAGGGATGGCATTCAAGATACTTCAGGAGTTCACAGTGCATCGTGTTTCAGCACAACATCCCTCCTCTTCACCATCACCAGTGACTTCTGGGATGATGCCGTCCCCCACCAGCACCCACATGGGCTCGACCACACCAGGAGCACACTCAGACCTCCCAGGCCATGATGGACCCAGGGACCCTGTCCAGAAACCTGGGAGTGGTAAGATTCCAGGGTGGGTCCACCTACCCCAGCTGGCCCTGTCCCTGGCCAACAACCCTGAAACCCTGACCCCACTTCTCAGCTGCTCAGCCTCCCTCTAAATCCCCACACAAGGCTCTGCCCCGACCCTCCCCAATGATTTCAGTTGACAAGCCTGAGGGCAGCATAGATGACCAGGACCCAGGAGAATGTTGTGTCGAGCCTGAGCAGGGTGACAGGGACCCACCACACACAAACGCATCAACAGTCAGAACAACAGAGAAGGATCCTGTCAGGACCAGATGGCAACAGAGGGCATCCTCAGGTACCATTGCCCCAGGCCCAACCCTCTCCCAAGGAGGTCAATCCAGGCCTCATGGGGGCCCAGAACACTGGGGGACAGAAGACGGGCACCTCCTCAGGGGGTCCACAGGTATGTGTCCCTGGTGGGAGGCCAAGAGGTCTGATGACAGCAATGACATACAGCCCTCACCCATCAGCACCTACTCCCTTGTCCAGCCAACTTGCCCTCACCCACCGCTGGCCTTGCTCAGATGTGAGTTTTCATCACTTCCTGCCAGGCCAGGGGATGCCTTCATGGGGATCAGAAAAAAAAGAACCCAGGGCTGCCTTGCTGGACGTCAGACCCCACTGTCCACCCAGACCTGGTGCCACTGTCTGGGTGGTCCCGGCCTGTCCAGCATCTTCTTCATTCTCCCTGCCCCAGCCCTATGGCCTCATCCTAGGAATCCTGGCTGAGGGGCACTTCTTGGTCCATCTCTATCAAGCTGTCTCAGAGTTAGTGTGGCTGGGAGAGCACTGCCCTGACAGGGTCCACGGGATTCCAAGGAGAACTCAGCCAGCAGAAGCCACCCAGGGGGAATTAGGACAAAGGCCATCATGGGAGCCAAGAAGGGTCCTGGTGGGGAAATGCTGCACTCCAGTCCCAAGAAGGCCCACCCTGGCCTTTCTCCAAATGCTAAGGGGGGACACAGGCAGCTGTGACGTCCCCACCCCAGCTGGGAGCTTCCCAGGGAAGCTGAGGTCAATGGGGCTGGCAGACAGGGAGGACTCAGGCACATTCCACCCACATCTGGACAACAGAGCATCTAGGCCACCACATTCACCCATAGGATGCCCCCATGTGTAAGAAAAGGCATCCACTCACCAAAGGCTTCTCTGCCCAAACTGGGGTCTCTGAATAACCAAATGACCATGTACCTGGCCTGACCTGACCCCAGACCCCTGCCCTCAATGCGCGCGCACACACACACACACACACACACACACACACACACAGAGATGCTCTCGCATCTAATGTACCACTGTTCTATCCCCTGCAGGGACATTCCGCACCTGGAATCCACCCCGTGGAATCAAGAGCCAGGTGAGTGGCTCCAGCAGGGAACAGAAGGAAGGAAATCCCTCAGCACAGCACCACAGCAGCCATGCGTTTTCCCCAAGCTCCCCCACCCACGCGTGATGCTCTCTAACTCCCTCCTTTCCCCTCTCCCCAGCGTCTCTCCCACTTCTTTGGAAGAGTCGAGGATCTGCGCAGAGACTTCAAGTCAGTCCCGGCCCAGGACACCATCCAGGTGAGGGCAGGACCCAGGGGAGGCAGGGGGAGGCACCCATAGAGGCGGAGGAAGCTGTGGTCTGGTAGGAGGGGGACCCCAACACAAGGGCGCCCTGCTCAGAGGCCCCACCTCTCCTGGGGGGTGGGACGAGCTGACAGCAAGTATTTGTACTCGGTTAGACACCCATGTGCACCTGCTGACACCTTCCCTCTTGCTTTCCTGGACTTTGGGTTTATAGCATCCTTGGCATTTATGAACAGGGTTGAACTCTGATTGGCTGGATTCCAGGGACAAAGACCCAGGGAATCCCATCCAGTACCACCTTTATCCCCAAATAGATAGTCTCTAGTGTCTGTTCTCTGTGCTGAGTGGGCGGGGTCTTCATGTAGACCCTCTGGCCCATGGCCCACTGTCTCTGTGTCCCCATCCCCCAGAACCTCATGCAGGAGGTGGATGTTCTGCTGGAGACCCCAGGGGGCCTGGAGACCCTGCCCCGCTCAGAGCAGCACTGTGTGGCCTCTAACCTGCTCTTTGGCCTGGAGGATGTCCTGAGAGGGCTGAGCACTGCCCTATCCAATGGGTCATTGACCTTCAATTCATCTGCAGGAACAGGTAAGTACCCGGGTCTGCCCCAGGCTCCTGCATGACCTTCTCCACCTCATTCCTTCCCAACCTCACTGGAGTCGAGTGACCACGCTTGTATCTCAGTGTTACTCTCATTAACAAATGTTAGAAGGAAATGAATAAATTATTCTAAGTGAAATAAGTCAGATTGGTATTTGCCAGAGTTGAGGGGATGGGTGAAATGGATGAAAGGGGTCAAAAGTTACAAATTTCCAACTATAAAATAAATAAGTCATAGGCATGTAAAGTACAGCATGGTGACTATAGTTAATAATACTGTATTGCATAATCAAAAGTTCCTATGAGAGTAAACCTTAAAAGTTCTTACCACAAATTTAAAAATTTTTGTAACTACGTATAGTGATGGATGTGAACCAGGCTTATTGGGATGATCATTTTGCAATATATACAAATATCAAATCGTTAAGTCGTACATCTGAAATTAATATAATATATCAATTATGCCTCAATAAAAAAAGAAATGAATAAAACTGTAAATAATATGCATTTTCATTGTAAATAAAATTATGAGCAGATTAAATAAAGAATTTAAGGTAAAATAGAAATGACTTCAAAAGAAAACAATTTGTTTAATTTAGAAGAATACACATTTAATATTATTTGATATTTATGTGTGATTTATTTTATTGAGGTAAAATTCATGTAACATAGAATTCACCACGTCAACCAAAGTGTACAATTCAGTGGCATTTAGTACATTCACAGAGTTGTGAGCCATAGTCTCTATTTCTGAATTATCTTCATCACCCAGAAGTAAGCACTGCACCTGCTAGGCAGTCACTCCTCATTCCTTCTCTCCCCCAGGCCCTGGCAACCACGATTCTGCTTTCTGTCTCTATGGATTTGCATATCCTGGACATTTCACATGCATAGAATCATAGGACATGTGATCTTATAGTCCAGCTTCTTTCACCTAGCATAATGTTTTCAAGATTCATTCATGTTGTAGCATGTATTGTATCTCTTTCCTTTTTATGGTTGAATAATATTCCACTCTGCATGGATATACCACCTTTTGTTAATCCATTCATCCATTGATGGACATTTGGTTGTTGCCACCTTTGGACTATTTTGAATAGTGCCACTATTAATATTGGTGTACAAGTTTCTGTTTGAATAACTTTTTCAGTTTTTTGGAGTACATACTTAGGAGTGGAATATCTGAGTGATATGGTAATTCCATGTTCAACTTTTTGAGGAACCAGGAAACAATTTTTCCAAAGTACTATTTTTCCACTTTCCACTTCCACCAGCAATGTAACCAGGGTTCCAATCTCCTCATCCTCAACAACATTTGTTACTTCCATTTTGTTTCATTTTTAATACAGCCTTTCAGTGTATGTCAGCTAACATCTCATATGGCTTTGATTTGCATTTCCTGGTGGCTAATGATGTTTCGCATCTTTTCATGTCATCATTGAACATTTCTGTACCTTTTTTGGAGAAATATTTTACTCAAGTCCTTTGCCTATTTTTTAATTCAGTTGTTTGGTGTTGGTTGTTGAGCTGTAAGAGTTCTTTATATATTCTAATACTAGTAGACCCTATGAGACATGTCATTTGCAAATATGTTCTCCCATTCCACAGATTGTCTTTTCACTTTCTTCATGGTATTTTCACTTCAATGAATAGCTGTTTCCATGTTTACGAAGTCCATTTTATCTATATTTTCTTTTTTTTGCTTGTGCATTTGGTGTCATAACTAAGAATCCATTTCCAAATGCAAGGTCATGAAGATTTACCTCTATGTTTTCTCCTAATTGTTTGAGTTTTAGCTCCTAAATTTAGGTCTTTGACGCATTTTGAGTTAATTTTTGTGTATTGTGTGAGGTAGGGGTTCAACTTCCTTCTTTTGCTTGTGCATATCCAGATATCCCAGCACCATTGAAGAGACTATTCTTTTCCCATTGAAGGGTCTTGGCACTCCTTGCTGAAAATCAACTGACCATAGATGTATGGGCTTATTTCTGGACTCTCAATTCTGTTTTATTGGTCTATCTGTCTATTCTTATGCAAGTACCATAGTGTTTTGATTATTGTAGGTTTGTATTAAGTTTTGAAATCAGGATGTGTGAGTCCTCCAAATTTGTTTCTCATTTTCAAGATTGTTTTGGGTATTTGGGCCCCTTGCAATGCCACATGAAATTTGGGATGAGCTATTCCATTTCTAAAAAAGATGAATTAATAAAATGATGTTGGAATATTGATATGGATTACATTGAATCTGCAGATTATTTTGGGGACTATTGCCATCTTAATAATATTGAACCTTCCATCCATGAACAAAGGATGTCTTTCCATTTATTCAGCATTTTTAATTTCTTTCAACAATCTTTTGTAGTTTTCTATGTACAAGTCTTTAGTCTCCTTGGATAAAATTATTCCTAATAATTTGTAGAATATATTTGCATCTATGTTCATAAGATATATTGGTCAGTGGTTTGTTTTGTTGTGATGTCTTTATCTGGTTTGTTTTCAGGGTTATGGTGGCCTTGTAGAATTATTTAGGCTGTGTCCCTTTCTCTTCTATTTTATAGAGGAGTTTACAAAGGATTCATGTTAATTCTTCCTTAAATGGCTGATTAAATTCACCAGTGAAGCCATCTGTTCTGGGCTTTCCATTTTAGGAAGTTTTTGATTAGTGATTCTCCTGTTACAGGGCTGTTCTGATTTTCCATTTCGTCTTAAGTTTGTTTTGGTAATTTGTGTGTCTCTAGGAATTTCTCCATTACAACTAGGTTATCTAACTTGCTGTTGAATAATTGCTCATAGTATTCTTCTATACTCCATTGTAAATTCATATGCTACACATACATATATATCATTATTATGTATATCAAATACCATGTGTAATATTATTACTATGTGTACCAATAATACCATTATGTGAACATAATACATAGTATATATGTACATACACAATTACTAATCTAACTCCTTTATGTAACTGACACAACTCATAGAATTGTCCCTGGAGGTGCTGGAGCAAGGAGACAGGAGTATCACCTTGAGTCAGAATCAGGCAAAGATGCTGCTGAACTGGGACCTGGTGCAGGAATCTGGTGACTCAGGTAACAGCTGAGATGGGGAGAAGGTCACTGAGGCTTCACAGTGGGACAAGTGCCGAGGGATGTGACATATAGAGAATTAAATGCTAAAGGGAAGTGTGGGGTGTTGTGGGGCCACGAGGAAAGAGTCCATCTGAAGAAGAGGCCCTGTTAGGAATGCTGAGATGTCAATCTTGCCCTCCTCCTGCAGGCCCTTCTGTGGTGGGCCTTGTCTCCACTCCAGGGATGGGTAAGTTGCTGGCTGAGGCCCCCCTGGTCCTGGAGCCTGGGGAGCAGGCCGTTGTACATGAGACGCATAAGGACTTGCTGCAGGTAGTCTCCCCTGTCCTGCTCTCAGATGTCGTCACCGCCTTTATGAACAACAATGACACCCAGAACCTCAGCTTCCAAGTCACCTTCGTCTTTAACCATGTGAGTCCAGGTGGGATGGGGGTGTGGGTGTGGAAGAGGTCTGAGTCCTGGTCATAGCCTCGGGGTTCAGGGAGGCTCCCCTATGGGTGCATCATCTCCCCAGAAAAGCACTACATGAGCCAGGTTAGGTCATCATTTCTGAACACCAGAACCACCAGCTCACACCTTCACCCTGTTCCTACAGTCAGTGACCCCTGGGCCAAGGCAGAAGGTGTTCTGTGTCTTCTGGGAGCATGGCCAGAATGGAAGTGGTCATTGGGCCACCACAGGCTGCAGGGTGGTGGACACCAGAGATGCCAGCACCACTTGCCAGTGCACCCACCTCAGCAGCTTCGCCGTCCTCATGGCCCACTACGATGTGCAGGTGAGGGCCCTGAGAGGGCTGCATTCAGTGTGCATCTCACTGTAACAAATTCCCACAACATAGCAGTTCAAGCAAACCACAAATGTATTATCTCCCAGTATCTGAAGGTCAGCAGTCCTCCGTGGTGTAGCTGGGTTGTCTGCTCAGGATCTTACGAGGCTGAAATCATTGCATCAGCCAGGGACACAATCTCATCTGAGGCTTGGGGTCCTCCTCTAAGGCCCCTAGTCGCTGGCAGAAAACAGTTCCTTTCGGTTGTCAGACTGAGGCCCCACTTTCTTGCTACCTGGCAGCTGGGGACCATGCTCAGCATCTGTGGGCTACCTGCATTCCTTTTCACGTGGCCCTCTTCTAGGCTCTTTCACAAGCTATCAGTGTTCCTTTCTGGAGGCCAGAAGCAGAAGCTCCCTCACATCAAAATTCTCTCAAACTTTGAATCTTGTTCTCCAGGAAGTGTTCACATTTCTTAAGGGCTCACCTGATTAGATCAGGCCCACCAAGGATAATCTCCCTCTCTTAAAGTCAGTTGATGTAGCACCTGAATTCCATCTGCAAAATCCTTTCGCAGCAACACCTAGTCTGGCTTTTGATTGAAAATCTGGAAGAAGGTATTGTATACCATGGGGTGAGGATATGGTTGCAAGATTAGAATTATGCTTACCACAGGGGTCTTTAGTACAGCAGTGCTCAGGGGCTGCAGAAAGGAAGATCTGGTGATGGCAGAGGTCCGAGGGGGCCGGGGGGCCAGTGAGCACAGGTGGGTTAGGAGCCATGTTGGCCTCCTCCCCTGGGCAGATGGGCTGCTGACTTCCTCTGGATCACAAAAACCAGAGACTCAATCAGGTGGCCTCTAAACAAAAATAGGCCCTTGTGAGTCCAGGGCTTGGTGCAGGGTCTGAGTTAATCAATTCAGAATCCCATAGTATTCTAACATTCTGAACCTCTGGGTACTTAGCCATAAACATCATAAATTTACCTGGCTCCTCCATATCTAATTTTTCTATGCCCAAAAATAAAAATAAAAATGGTGGAAGCAGGAGCAGGAAGGCGTGACTGTGGATCTCTTTGCTGGGTCCCAGGAAGAGGACCCTGTGCTGGCTGTGATCTCCTACATGGGGCTGAGCCTCTCTCTGCTGTGCCTCCTCCTGGCGGCCCTCACCTTCCTGCTGTGCAGAGCCATCCAGAACACCAGCACCTCGCTCCACCTGCAGCTCTCCCTCTGTCTCCTCCTGGCCCACCTCCTCTTCCTCACGGCCATCGACCGAACTGAGATCAAGGTACTGACCCTGTCCCAGTGGACCCTCTGCCCTGCCCCAGGGGTGCTGAGTCCACGGAGCCACGCTGCACTGGACACTGTAATAAATGATCTTGTGTCTCGGGGAAGGTGAGGGGTGAGTAACCTGTTTCACATTGACTGATGCAACTGGAAGACAAACCCTCTCTGACAACTCCTTCATGCTCCTCAGAGTCCTCCCCAGGGGCAAGGTGCAGGAGAGGTCCTGGGCCACCCTCCACCCTGACTGTCCCTCCTGCTGACACCTGCCTCCACCCCCAGGTGCTGTGCGCCCTTATCGCAGGTGCCTTACACTATCTCTACCTGGCCTCCTTCACCTGGATGCTGCTGGAGGGCCTGCACCTCTTCCTCACTGCTCGCAACCTGATGGTGGTCAACTACTCCAGCGCGAGCAGCTTCATGAGGAAGTTCATGTTCCCTGTGGGCTACGGGGTCCCGGCTGTGATTGTGGCCATTTCTGCAGCATCCAGGCCTCACCTTTATGGAACATCCGCCCGGTAAATGCAAATTCCCTCTGTCCTTGTCTTCTCCAGCACGACCATGGCCATTGTAGAACCAACAGAGCACTTTACTTTCACCAGAATATGACAGGCAGAGAAAAACTCAGTAGTCACTCCAGAGATGTCTTCCTGGTGTCATGACTGTGTTCATTGGAGTGACTGTGTTAAGTCCTTAAGATTTAATTGTTTTAAATGTTCATTATATTATGTTAATAATGATATATTTATATAATATTGTGCTTTTTATTAACTAAACACCAATATAATATTGATGATATATTAATAATTATAAATTAATATATAGTTAAAATATATGAGTTGACTGGTTTTGATGTTTTAGATTTGATTACATTAAATTTTAATTTTTATGTTATATTAATGACTATATTATACTAATGCCTATAATACATAATGTCAATTGCATTTTATTATTAGTAAATGTATATTAATATAATATTCATTGCATTAATTGAGGAGACTGTTTTAAATCTTCTAGAAAGCAAAACTGAAATGAAAAGATCACAATGGTTTGTGTAATCTACTTCTTTCTCAAAATTAAAAAAAGACAGTTAATTTAGACAACGAAATTATTGGTACCAGAGCTAAGATTGATAAATCACCTCTGATGTGCAATCACTGGTCTGAATATTTTTCACGTATCAGCTCAATCATCGTCCCAACACCCTCTGAGTTAGAAACTAGTATTATGCCAATATTACAGATGAGGAGACTGAGGCACGAAGAGATTAATTGACATGGCCAAGATCACAGAGCTGGCTGGAGGCAGAGGTGGGATCAAATCCCATCTGACACTCACAACGTAGTCCTATACTGATAAGTTAATGTTCACCTGCGTCAGATGAGCATGGACCAGCTAGCCTTCCTGGATAGCTTACCGTAAAAGTCAGAGAACTTTATCTGAAAAGGCCAGATAGTAAATATTCTGGCTTTTTGGGCCGTACGGTCTCTGTTCGAACTGCTCACCTCTGTCCTCGTAGCACAAAGGCAGCCATAGACAACACGTAAGGGAGTGAGTGCAGCCGTGTCCCAGGAAAACACATCCACAAAGTCAGGTGGCAGCCCGACTTGGCCACAGGCTGCACTTTGCCGTAGCAGCTTCCTCTTCCGTTCTTCCTAGTGGATCCACCTCTCCATGGTCCTCACACCTCCCTCATCACTCACAGTCCCCTAATTGGGATCAGATTCCAATTCTGTCATTTCTATCAGTGTGGCCTTGAGTTACTGCCTCTGTTCCCTTCAGCCTCAGACATCTGACCTGTGACATTTGAGTACCTATGTCCTCGTCAGGAATAAAGTCTCTAATGCACAGGAGCCCTGCTCAGTACTCTGTCAGGGTAACTGTTACTTTCTATATTCTCTGCTGTCATGTCCCAAAATCTCTCACCTTGTCTACACCTACCATGTACTCATCCTTCATGTCTCAGTGTAAACACAATTCATTTCTCTCAGGGAACCTTCCCAACTCTCTGAATCTCTACACCCCAGACTAGGTTGTGGTTTCAGCTCCATGTTCTCACAGATCCTCGGACTTTGATCATAAAGCTCGTCATCTTGACTGTTTCTATTACCTGATTGTTGACCTTCCACCCAGCTGGGACCCCCCCAGAGGACGGAGACCACTCTATCTTAATCACGACTGGGGCTTCCGAGATAAGCACAAATACTGATATAGAGGACACACTCCATATTTGTCAAATAAGCCATAAATTAATTTATCCATTGATTCTTTTTCTTACAAAGTTTGTATTTTTTTCTGTCAAGATTTCTGGGGGCCAAGACTTAAAAGAAGTTTTTTAAAGGAATTTAAAAAAGAACATTTTGTTAAGGTATCATTGACATGTAAAAAGATATACGTATTTGATGCATACCACCTGATAAGTTTGGGGACAAGTATAGACATGTGAACCCATCACCACCATCAAAACTATATACAAGGTTCAGTTATACAAGATAAATAAGTTCAGGAAATCTACTAAAGAGCATACTGCCTATAGCTAATAATATTGTATACTTAAAATTTACTAAGTGGTTACATCTTACGTTAAATGTTTTTACCCAAGGAAAGCAATAATAATAATAATAATTGGGAACTGAGGGATATGTTTATTTATGGATTCTTTGAGCCATAAAGGCCAGCATGTTCTTGGATCTCTTTCATCTTTCTTAGATGCTGGCTCCACACACATGAAGGATTTATATGGGCCTTCCTTGGCCCTGTCTGTACCATCTTCTCTGTGAGTATGGATGACATCAGGGCCTCCTACCTGCCCAGCTGAATGTCATTAAAAGACCAGGTGTATAAGGAGGGTTATGGGCAGAGTGAGAAATTGTTCCAGTTTCCCAGGGCTGAGGGGGGCTCTCAGGATGCAGAAATTTCAGTTTTAAAACAAGGAATGAAGTGCTTCCTGAGACATGGGACTTTTCTTGCTATATCATGGAAATTCCTATGCAAACTGGGACAAGTTGGTCACCCAAATTACAGGACAAGAAGGTGCCTGAGTTACCAAGTGTTAGGTCTGATTTTCTAGGACTGCTGTGAAATACGAATCTTCTCACTTGCTGGGTTAGGTGTTGGATGAGCTAGGAGGAAGGTTGAGCAGATGTGGAATGTATTTAGTATGCCTTGTGGGGATATTCTTCTGCAGATCAATTTGGCTTTCTTTCTGATGACCTTCTGGATTGTGAAAAACAAGCTCTCCTCACTCAACAGCGATGTGTCCACCCTCCAGAACACGAGGTGAGGATGGATCACAGGGCGCACACCATCCCCCCCACACCAAGCATGGTCCAGGAGCAAGGCCATATGGCCCCAAGCTCCTGAAGTCCTTTCACGGGGACTCTGAGAGGACTGGAGGAGAGAAGTGCACCCACTCTTCTTGGAAGTCAGCTCTGATACTGTAGTTTGCTGCTGACACCCAAGCCAAGGGCATTCTGTCCATCCATAACCCCCAGCATGAAAGCACCTGAGCTCCACAGAGAATTGACTGTGTTCTGATAAACAGGGACTACTTTTGTGGCTCTATGGAAATGGTCCTAAGAACACTGATACCTTCATAACACACGGAGGAAATCCCACCACTGTTCCCAGTGCCCAGCATGCCCTTTCACTCCCACGCCTATATGCATGCTCTTCCCTCTGCCCTCTCCCACTCTTCCACCTGAGGAGATCAGGCTCCTTTGCCACTTATTACCTCTTCTAAGAGTTTGGGGGTGTCCTTTGCTTTCCTCAACTTTGCACAGAATTAAGGTCTGTATTCGGAGCAAAGGCTGCTCTGGGTCAGTTCATGGAGAAGGTGAGCAGGGGAACAGTACTGGAGGGGACCAGGGCAGAGTACGTTGCACGTCACAAATGTTGTAAGTGACCATTTGTTTTCATCCTTCTACTAGACTGTGAGGTCTGTGAAAGCAGATGTCTTGCCTTCGTTGTTGTCAATGCCCAGGCCCCAGCGCAGGGCCAGGTGCACAGAGGGTCCTTAGTACAGCTGGTTGAATGAAATTCGGGATCTCCATGAAACATCATGATGTTTCTGAAACCCACATGATGAGGTGTCACTGCCATCCTCAGTCCAAGTCAAAATGCCATCCTAGACCCGAATAGCAAGTCTTTTTAGGGAATCATAGACAGTGGAGGTCAAAGTTGATCACACTTAGTCAGAGGATCCATGGAGTGGAGATAAGAATGGTTTGATTGTGTTGCTCTGGGTGCATCATGAGCCTCCTTCCTCCTCCTCCCCAGGATGCTGACATATAAAGCCACAGCTCAGCTCTTCATCCTTGGCTGCACGTGGTGTCTAGGAATCCTCCAGGTGGGTCCAGCTGCCCACGTCATGGCCTACCTCTTCACCATCATCAACAGCCTGCAGGGCGTCTTCATCTTCCTGGTGCACTGCCTCCTCAGCCAGCAGGTACCAATGTGTGACTCCCACTCAGGACTCTTCCCATCTCACTCCTCTCAGTGAGCTGATCCAGAGCCTGCTTTGTCTCTGCAGGTCCAGGAGCAATACCGAAAATGGTGCAAAGGGGTCAGGAAAACCAAAGCCGAGTCTGAGAAGTACACGCTCTCCAGCAGGGCCATGTCTGATGCCTCCAGACACAGTGTGGTAAGATCATACACTGCTCCCAGAGCATTTGACTAACAGATCTGCTTGATGAGCACATGCCTCCCATGTGGGACCACCTGGGTATACAGCAGGGGATGCTCTAGGACAGCCCACACTTGTTTTACTGCTGGACTCATTCAGACACTTCCTGTCGTGAAAGGAGGTCTTCCTGCACTTTTGTACTGTGTTTCTATGTTTACCTTGACCCTCGCACGTGGCTACCTTTTTCCTTCATGTGTAGAGCACCCACCTTGTGAGAATTGGTGCATGTGCTTTTTAATTTTCCTTGGTGAGAAGATGGAAAACACTTACTCATAAGCAGAGAAGGATGCTATAGTAAGCTCTATAGGCAGGAACTAATGATCTGAAGAAGTGATGCATGAGTTTCTCAGAGACACAGCGCCATCCTTTCTCCCAAGTCATTCCATGCTACCCCTCTATAAAGAACAGTAAATACATGGTATATATAGTCATAAAAGGAAAGCAAAATAAGTATTAAGTTGGATTTGAGACTGTCCATGAAACCTGCAACCGTTCCTGGTGTTATCAGCACACACAAAGCAAAACCAGGAAGGAGAATCATAGAGGAGATAGAAGAGATTCCAGCAATGTGAATCATACCAATCATTTGTATTTTGGGGGTTTACATAACTTTTTCTCATATTTTTCTTCACATGATCTTCACGTCAGCACTTGGAGGTAAGTTTTATTATGTTCCCACTTGGTAGGTGAAGAAAGTGAGACTTATGGGGTCTGTATGTATTGTGCAGGGACTTCAGCCGATTCATTCTTTCTCCCAACTTTCATGAGCCCCCCACTCTACCTTGCAAGCCTTCTGCATTTCTCTCACCTATGTACTTGTCCGCCATCCACAACTGCCCCTTCCCAAAATCTCCACTCCTCAGAGGTCTCATCCTTCTAATTCTTTCCTCTTCCCAGCAATTGTTCCTGCCAACTTCTTCACAGGGAAAATCAACTGAGTGGATGAAACAGGGTTAACTTTGTGCTCTCAAAAACACCAGGCGTTTGGCATCTGGTTCATTCTCTCCTTATTCCATCTTATTCCCACAGATGGATAAAATCTGCTTCCAACTTTTTAAATCTAATCCCTCTGCCTGTATTTTTAAAATTATTTTATTGAGGTCATATTGGTTTATAACACTGTGTAAATTTCAGGTGCACATTATTATGTTTCAGTTTCTATGTAGACTCCATCATGTTCAGCACCAATAGTCTAGTTTTTATACATCACCATACATATGTGTCCCTTTACCCCTTTCACCCTCCCCCTACCCCCTTCCCCTCTGGTAACCACCAATCTGTTCTACTTATCTATGTGCTTGTTTATTTATCTTCCACATATGAGTGAAATCATATGATATTTGTCTTAATCTGTCTGCCCTATTTCACTTAGCATAATACCCTCAAGGGCCATTCATGTTGTCACAAATAGCACAATTTTGTCTTTTTTTCATAGCTGAGTAGTACTCCCTTGCATATATATATACCACATCTTCTTTATCCATTCATCCTTCGATGAACAGTTGGGTTGCTTTCACATCTTAGCTATTGTGAATAATCCTGTGATGAAGGTAAGGGTGCATGAATCGTTTTGAATTATTGGTCTCATGTTCTTGGGTTAAATACCCAGGAGTGGGATAGCTGGATCATATGGTATTTCTATTTTTAATTTTTTAAGAAATCTCCATACTGTTTTCCATAGTGACTGCGCCAGTGTGCATTCCCACCAGCAGTATATGAGGGTTCCCTTTTCTCTACATCCTCTCCAACACTTGTCATTTCTTGTCTGTTAATTATAGTCATTCTATGGATGTGAGGTGATATCTCAATGTAGTTTTGATTTGTATTTCCCTGATAATTAGTGATGTTGAACATCTTTTCATGTGAAGTTTCCTCAGCTTGTATTTTTTTCCAGACACTCTTGACTTTTCCACACTTTACAGTGTTGCTCATACATTCTCTTTCTGGACCTGTACAGTCTCATCTTCTCAACAGCATCTTTTCCACCTTATTTCATCATGTTAAGTCACTCTCTTTGCAAATATTAATGTTACACATTTGATCCCTCCCTCTTCTTTCTCTACACACTCAAAACTGGCTTTTGCCTCGACCATTCCACCAAAAAAGCTCACTTTTAAGCCCCCGATGAGCTTCCTATCAGTCGATGAAATAAATAACTTTTGTTCCTCTCAGCAGTATTGAATGCTGTGGTTACTGCCTCCTTCGTGAAACTTCTCTTTTGTGTCTGACTTCTATCTCTCAACACTCCATGGAATTCTTCCTATCTCTCTATCCAAGCTTTCTTCATCTTCTTTAGATTTCATCTACTGTACCTGGCTTGGTTCTAGAAAAACATCTATTCTCACATAATACCTGCCTCAAAGAAAGCCTTGTCTGCAGAGACTCAATGTGCGATGCAGAAGGAAATGATGGCCAAATAGATTTCTCTAGCCATGAAGTCCATAAGAGCCTGAGACCACTACTTCCAACTGCCTGCTTGACATTCCCACTTAGATATCTCAGAGGCAGCCCAACATGGTCATAACAGAACTTATCATCCCTTTCACCGACTTAATCCTCTTCAGGGTTTCTCATCTCATTGGGTGGCATCTACATAACATCTTTTTGCACCAGTCAGGACCTGGAACATCCTTGACATTATCCTCTTCCTTACCCTGTTCCACCACAAGCCAATCCATGGCTAAATTGTGCTCATATTTCCCCGCAGTAGCCCACAAATCTGTCTTGTTGATGCTGTCTCCAACATCTTCTCCCTAATTCCGGCTGCCGTCTCCCCTTGGCTAGATTGTAAAATCCTCCTAACTGGTCTCTCCTCTACTCTTCTCCCTCTTTCCATTAGTTTTCCACATAAAATTCCGAATTATCTTCTCAAAACAAAAATTTGATCAGGTACCACCTTGCCTAAAAACCCCCTAAATGGTTCCCCATTGCCACTAGAAGCGAGATCAGAATATATGAGGGTTCCAATTTCCCCCACATCCTCATCAAAACTTGTTATTGTTTTTTTATACCCTAGTGGGTGTGAAGCAGTTTTTCATTATGGTTTTGATTTCATTTCCCTAACGTCTAATAATGTTGAGCATCTTTTCTTGTGCTTATTAGCCATTTACATGTCTTCTTTGGGGAAATGTCTATTCAAATCTTTTCTCTATTTTTAATTCAGTGATTTCTCTTTTATTGGTAAGTTGTAAGAATTCTATATATGTTCTGGATACAATTCCCTTGTCAGATATATGATTTGCAATTGTTTTCTCCCATTCCGTGTGTTGACTTTTCATTCTCTTGATAGTGTCCATTGATGCACAAAAGTTTTTAATTTTGGTGAAGTCCAGTTTCTCTAATTTTTTGTTCATTTGTGTTTTGGGTGTCATACCTAAAAAAGAATTGCCTAACCCAAGGCCACAATGATTTATACATATGTTTTCTTCCAAGACTTGTGTAATTTTAATTACATTTAAGTGTATGATCCACTTGGAATTAATTTTTTTAAATGCTGTGAGGTGTGTAATATGGTGTGAGGTCCACATTCTTTTGCATATGCATATTAGGTTGTCCCACCATCCTTCATTAGAAAAAATATTTTTCCCCCAATTAACTATCTTGCTTCCTTGTCAGAATAAATTCACCATAAATATAGAAGTTTATTTTTAGACTCTTAACTCTATCCCATTCATCTATCTTGGTTACTGTAGCTTTGTAGTAAGTTCGAAGTTGGAGTATTGACTCTACAAATTTGTTCTTTGTTTTCAAGATTATTTACATTATTATGGACTCTTTGAAGTCCAATATAAATTCTAAGATGTGCTTGTCAACTTCTGAGAAAGATTAAACTGAAATATTGATAAGAATTTTGTTGAATCTGTAGATCAATTTGGGGGTGCTGCCATCTTAACATATTAAGTCTTCTGATCCATGAACATGGATGTTTTCTGATTTCTTTAGGTCTTCTTTGACTTCTTTTGACAATGTTTTATAGTTTTCAGTGTTCAAGTCTTGCAGTTTTTAACACAATATCATTTTTTCACTTCCCTTCTCAGGAGAATTAAATTAACAGCTAACCAGAAGATTTCATATCCTGGAAAATTCAGAACTGTCATCCTTTCATCAAAGAGTATAAAAAACCCTTTTTCATGTTTGTTACCAGTTACTCCTCATGACACCATTGAGGGAGAAAGTATGCAGGAAAGGTTTGATATTCAGTTGCTGGAGGATTTGGGCTTTCTGGTCCATACGGCACGCTCATCTCACTCCCAGCAGAGTCAAGGAGCTGTGACCCAATTCCCCAGTTGCCTTGGAGGAAACACTCTGCTCCAACCTCTTTTACAACAAAGACGTCCTCAAATTGAAGATATATAATAAAGAAAAGCAACCTCAATGACTTTCTTAAAATAGCATGAAAGGAAAATATTTTTCAAATTCCTGCATGTACTGTAAATAATTAATCCAGTTATCCAACCTTCCTGGTTTTAGCACCAAATGTCCTACGTCCCACGAAACACTTGGGCTACAGGCAGAGGAGGAGAGTTGGTCTCCCTGCGTACATGCTTCGACTTCTTCACTCTCTGTTTTTAAAGACTTACTAATTTTTTCATTCCAAAGTATATTTTTATTACTTCACCATGTGCTACACACAGATCAAGAAGATCCAATTCCTGATTTCACTGAGCTTACAAGTAAAAAATAATATTTCTTCTCTTAGTGTAAAATGTGAGCCCTGTGAATAGAGTCTCTCCATCTTTACATTTTATAAGCAGAGCTCTGGAAAAAAGTGTGTTTTAATACTACACACTATGTGAGGTGTCTTTGTATATAACATTATTTCATCCTCAGCGTGCAATCTAGGAAAGATCTAAATCCAGAGAAGTTACACCTACAGTAAATTCCCTGTGGGCTCCCACTGACCAAATCTGCATCAATTTGAACATCAAGGAAAATGACTGTAAATGATTCTAACATATTAAATAAAACTATGCATGAATTTACGGAGATACCTAAAACATGAGCCAATAAATGTGGAAGAGATGATAAAATTAGAATATCAAATATTTTTTTTCAATATCCAGTAATGGTCACTAAAAGCCTTGAGTGAAATGCTGTTGGAGGACAGGCCAGGCCTACAGTGCCAAAAATCACCTCACAGATTACTGATTCATTACAAGGGCCAAGGTGTACATCTACAATGTGGACCTCTGACAGTCACCACCTGAACTTAATGCTCAGGTTTATCGTCATCAATAGTGGGCAACCTGAAATTAGATATCTCCTGGTAATATGTGAAGTTACAGCATGCAATTTGTGGTAAATAAAGATTTAGTGACAAATCAGTGTATCCTGAACCTAATCCAGCCTCTAGGCCAAGGGTTGGCAAACTATATTTGCAGGACAAATGCAGGCAGCTGTCTGCTTTTGTAAGTAAAGTTTTATTGGAACACAGCCACACATTCATTGATGTATTGTCTATGGCTGTTTTCATGTTACAGTGTCAGAGTTGAGCAGCTGTGACAGAGGCTGTAAGGTCACAAAGCTGAAAATACTTACTACCTGTTCTTTCTAGAAAAAGCTTACTGGCACCTGGTGTTTCAGACCTAGCCTTCAGTATTCATGAAATACAGGGGACAGAACAGCAAGTTAAATGACATCAAGAGGAAACAATCAGGCAAATCCAGAACTTGGGGCATCCAACCAGCCAACTGGCCTAGACTCTTCTAAAGTCAATATCATTTTAAAAAGTGACTAGAGGCAGCTCAAGATTAAAGGAGACAAAAACAACACAACAAATTGTTGTTTTCAAGTTCTTTGGATAAATACCCAACAGTGGAATAGCTGGATCATATGGTAGTTCTATCTTTGATTTTTTGAGGAATCTCCATACTGTTTTCCATAGTGGCTGCACCAGTTTGCACTCCCACCAGCAGTGTATGAGAGTTCCCTTCTCTCCACATCCTCTCCAACACATGTTGTTTCCTGTCTTGTTAATTATAGCCATTCTGACGGGCGTGAGGTGATATCTCATTGTAGTTGTGATTTGCATTTCCCTGATAGTGTTCATTGCAGCATTATTCACAATAGCCAAGACTTGGAAGCAACCTAAGTGCCGATCAAGGGACGAATGGATAAAGAAGATATGGTATATATACACAATGGAATACTACTCAGCCATAAGAAACTATGAAATCCAGCCATTTGTGACAACATGGATAGACATTGAGGGTATAATGCAAAGTGAAATAAATCAGAGGGACAAGGTCAAATACTGTATGATGTCCTTCATTAAGTAGTAGATAATAACAACAGTAAAAAAACACATAGGGACAGAGATTGGATTGGTGGTTACCAGAGGGGAAGGGGGGAGGGAGGAGGGAGAAAGGGATAATTCAGTACATGTGTGTGGTGATGGGTTGTAATTAGTATTTTGGTGGTGAACATGATGTAATCTATGCAGAAATAGAAGTACAATGATGTACACCTGAAAAAAAAAAAAAGCAACATAACAGTCAAATTCAAAGTAAATTTAAGTGGGACTGGGTTCAGACATACAGCCTTAAAAGACATTTTGGAGACAATTGAGATAATTTGAATATGTATCAGACTTTAAAAGTTGTTATAAAATTGTTAATTTTCTTGGGTGTAATAATCATATTATGATCGTGTGGAGAATATTCTTTGAAATCTTCAACATTTGTTGAAGAAATATTGAAGAATGGGGCATTATGAGGTCTGCCAGTGACCATCAAATGTTTCAGCAAGAATATATACGTGTGCACATAGATTGAGAAAGAGTTTTTACTGTGGCACTATGTTAATAATTGCTGAATCTAGATGAATGTCTATTGTATCCCTCTTCCAAATTCTTTCTGTGTTTAAAAATTGTAAATAAAAAATGTCTGAAAGGTAAATAAACATGTTATTTAGTTATTAATTCATTAAAGATATACCCTCATAAATTCCTAGACATCTAGATAAAATGCCTTTTCTTATGTGCAAAACTAATTTTGTGAAATTATATTTTATAAACTATGAACTTGCATGGCCGTGTGGTGATGAATTTAAAATCAAAAAATTAAAAATAAAATTTTTTAAATATTAGAAGAAAATAGAGGAGATCTCCTAGGAAATAGAAAATGGAAATGAGTATCACTCCCAACTTAACAGGAAGAAAAATCCATATAAACTATAAAATCATTCATTCTCTTGAACCCGTAAGAGAACTGAGGCAATGGATAATAAAGTAGCTTAAAGTCTAAGGAAAGACAGGGTCATCCAAGGAAAGACTGTCAGGAGCACTGGCCCCCTATGGCAGAGCACAAAAGGCAGTGGTCTGGGTGCCACACAAACGGTTAAGAAGAATTCATCCACATCTTTTAATGAATTGCTAAGGGCCAAGGTTGGGCCATCGTGAGAGTGTAGACTTTCTGAGGGAGAGGCAAGAATGTGCAGAGACTGTCTCTGAGATGCAGCCACAGTGGGCAGATGTGCAGCTGAAGGTGGAGGAAAACCCTCTGGCAAAGCAGCCCCTCTGCAAGCACAGGATCACAAGGTAACATGAGAATAAACTGAAGCCCAGGGTTCAAGGACTCCTGACCAGATGGACTCAAGTTCCCTCAAAACTAGCCCAGCAGAGGAACAGTGGGCACATTTCCAGTAATAAATAATATATCCCTCAGTGTCTACTTGTGATGAGAAAACAGCTATGTTGAGTTGCTGCCTGGGCAATTTATAGTATGACAACCCTGCTCACACCCACATTCTGGACATTTACATAAGGATCTGAGCTTAGGATTCCTGTCACAGGTTCACCCCATTTTGTCCTTGGGTCAGCTTTATAATAACTCCTTAGAGTTGAGCCCACAAAAAGTTAGTGACCTCTGCCCCAACCACCTTATAAATAATGGGTGCTTGCTACCCTGCTCTATCTCTTGCTCACTGGTGACCTGGGACAGAGGACTGCCTTTCCCCCGTTCATTGCACCCCCCAGTTCTGAGACCTGTAAATAATAAATCTCTTTCTTTACTTCCTTTGTGTGAGTGTACTGAAATTGTGCCTTCAATCAAAACAACGCTGCGGTTTTCGCTTCCTCAAAGTGGAAGCTTGGATGCTGAGGGTGCTATCCACAGACCCCGTGTGGGTGGCTTGTGCCTCCTCATTCAGCAGGTCATAATCTGCATATTCTTAATTTAATACACCAGCTATGGGCCACCCAACACACTACTGTCCTACACACATTGACCAGCATTCAATCAAAAATTATGAAATACAGAGTAGAGAAGTCAAGATGGCAGCGTAAGCAGACTCTGAACTCACCTCCTCCCACAGACACAGCCAATTGACAACTACTCGTGGAAAAATTACCCCTGAGAC